ACTGCCTACCTATCTAAGTTTAGAGATTTTGTCAGAAGTTTCTAAGACTGCCTGTCAGACGAAACCTCCCGTTGAACCACGCACAGCGCATACATGAAGAAGTTTTGAAGTACACAACAATAAATCATACAAGTGCAGATATTCGGGTCCCCGACATTTCAACATATCAATCAAAGATTTCGCTGTGAAGGTAAGTAGAAATCAGCTGCCCCAGCACGGACGAGACAATGTGGAAGTGATGCTGCGATTAAGGAAGTGGGAGAAAGTGGGAGAAATATGCCAGACTGACGAGCTGGTACAGTATTCAACAATTGGGAGATCTACTAAATGTATTCAAGAGCAACCAGTCAGACTCGCAACCGTGCATATATGCGTACATATAGATCTCTCTCAGATTGCAATCTACAATCAAGGCGGCAAATACACCAGTGACCGGCGTTATCTTCGCAAATGGTGAACCAGGAGCTCCTAAAACGACAAATATTCACATTGCCAATCTCCACATCTCATTCGTCTCACACGTGTCTTTATTTTTTCTTTTTCGTCAAGATGTATTACCCGGCTAGTTGGCTATGCCTGGGAGTAAGCCTCGGCGCGGAACTGATGGACGAGGCTCAAAACCAAGGCGACACGCACAAGTGGCTTTGCGTGTCGCCTGCGTTTTCTGCTTCGTCCAAACGTGTCGGCGCTATGACTTACAACTGTTTCTCACACTCGACGCTGCTATAGTGCAATCATGGTCGTGTCGAGAAACCTTCAACACGCTTCGATTTCTTTGTCGTGTTCTATTGTCCATCAACTCACATAGCGGGGCGGAGGAACTTATCATTGAGGCACCTCACCAAACCCGTCACTTTTCGAATAAAGAGATCATTGGCGACCATTCATTTGTGACGAATTTGATTATACAAAAAATTGAATTGATGAATGAGTCGGTACTTTTAAAAAGGCCGGAAAACCAGGACATAGGAAAGCATGGCAACAACAAGAGTGATTATGAAGGAGTAGAGCATAAGTAGAAAAAATAATTGTCCTCGTTTTTTTTTTTTGGGGGGGGGGGGGCTTCATTTTATCACTTGATCACACGGCCTCTGTGATATACATACCGGTATCACCTTCACAAAGCACAAGGCGGGCTACGGGAATACACCAGGAACGTATACCACTGTCCGATATCGCAATATCTTTAGAGCGACTCATCATTCAATAAATCGCTATATATGGAAAAGCGTATACAATCGCGAACAGCGGCAGGTTTAATGCGAATGGAAGAAAAATGCCAGATAGCAATAATAAATTCTGCTCCGAACATTTCAGTTTCATGGACACTGAACGATCTACGCACCACGAGCCACACATGTAGCAATACGCATTGATACGCCTAAATACGATACTCTAAAATTTGGGTACTCTAGCGAACATTTGGAGGACGAGTGAGTTTGGTCTTCAAGAGAAGAACGCGTTAGCTTAATTGGGCCCCGCGCGTTTTAGTGGTGCCCTCGAGAAAGGAAGGACTGTGTGCGTAACATTACCCTTTTCGAACCATTCTGGAATATCTACTGCAAGTGCAGTTGTGTTGTGCCCACGCACAAATTCTTCCGCTGGCCGTTAGCGAAGCACTCTCTCTATATGCATCCGTAGTAAGGTGCCACCCTGGCTTGTGCAGCGGCCCGCTTTCTATTTGGTTTAAACCTCCAAGCGGCTGCACACTTCACACGTTCTGACGCCTGGGCACGATTCTACGATTATGTTCCTAAATATTGCACGCGTTAAGGAAACTCCTTCCAATCCATGAAATTCTTATAACACTTTGGCACGAACTGCGTTGAAGCACTGGCGCGAATACCAGGCGGGAACGCAGGACGCCTGGGTGTGAAACCCCCTCGAACCGAATATTTCTTTTTTTTCATTTTAATTTATTTGCATGTATTTAAATTTTTTTTCACGAAGCAGTTTTAAGCACTGACGAAGCAGTTTTAAGCACAGAAAGCCTTTGTTTTTACGCATAATGCAACGTAAAGCAAACCCACTTCGGTGTGTATTCATGTGGGAGGCTGGTCTGAAAAGTTCTTGGCCTCACTAGGAATCACGTGAGCTAGAACCTGCAGCACTCGTGTGCACGTTCACACCAGTCTCTGCAAGTCAAAGATGAAACGCTATTTAATGCCGACGAACAGTTTCACCTTGACAGTTGATCGCAGTGAGTGTAGTGTGAAGCACCGTAAGGCATGTAGAAGCCTGACTACCATGTGGTTATAAAGTTCTTTGTAAAAGAAGATTTATCTCCAAATGAAATTCACCCTAAGTTAATGTTTACAAACAAGATTCACCTTCATACTCCACATGTTAAGAAACGGGCATGCTGTGGTTAAGCTGGTGTGTGTTAATTGGGTGAATGTGTAAGTGTTTGTATGAGTATTTGCGGGAGTAAAGTTTGAGCTAAATATTTTACAATATGACGAATAACCAACTAGCCCAAAAACAAGATTTATTGAGAAGAGAGGGAGCATTGAAGATGACCAGTGCGAAGAGCGCTCAAAAAGTGCAACCCCTGAATTAATTGACCGTGTGCACGATATCATTTTGAAAGACAGGAGAGAGAAGTGGCGTGATATTGCCTATTGCCGAGGTTGTTGCATTCTCATTAGAAATTGTAGGTCACACTTTGCGCAACAAACTACACACGAAGAAGCTCTGTTCAAGATAGGTGCCGTGCATCCTGAGCAAAAACGCAACCGCATGACAACGTCACAGCATGCTTTGGAGCTGTATAACAAAAATGCAGGTGAATTTTCGCGCAGATTTATAACAACTGATGAAATTCGAATTCACCATTACAAACCGGGATAGAAACAACAATGAAGCTGGCTCCTATGCACCGAAGAAAGCCCAGTCGGTTCCCTCCACAGAAACATACTTGCCTTCGTTTTTTGGAACGCTAAAGGCATTCTCCCTGTGGATAATCTTGTAAACTTGTAAAAATGGTATAAACACAGCTGGGCAGTATTATTCTAAATTTTCAAGTCAACGGAATTTGAAAATTTGTAAGGAAAGACCAGGTTTGCAGAAAAAGAAAGCAATCTTTTATAAAGACAATGCACCGGTGCACAAAGGGGCGTCTTGCAACCGCTAAATACTACGATTCGAAGTATGAACTCTTCGAGCACCCATCCTATTCTACTGACTTGGCCTCGCCGGACTACCACCTGCTCCCAAAGCTCAAAATCTTCCTTGATGGGCAACATTTATGATCAAATGAAGAACCGACTGTTGCTGTGGGTGAGTACTTTTCAGAACTTTCACTAAGTGATTTTGAAGATACAAACTCTGCTCTGGAACATCGATCAACTAAGTGTGTAGAGTTGACAGGAGACTATGTTAAAAATAAAAATATTTTGAAAGGCCCGAAATGTTTTTTTTTCTAAATCTGGCTGATAACTTTTCAGACCTCCCTCGCACATTTGTATGTATGTATGTATGTATGTATGTATGTATGTATGTATGTATGTATGTATGTATGTATGTATGTATGTATGTATGTATGTATGTATGTATGTATGTATGTATGTATGTATGTATGTATGTATGTATGTATGTATGTATGTATGTATGTATGTATGTATGTATGTATGTATGTATGTATGTATGTATGTATGTATGTATGTAGTATGTATGTATGTATGTATGCGTATATTCCCAAGAGACTGTACTAGATGCCAGTGATGCCACAACATGATTAGCAATAAATTAAGAATAAATACCGACCTCCTAGTCCTGCGCGACAGATGGCAGTGAAGGTAAAGTCGTGAGTATCGCAGGCAACAAGCCTGCACAAAAAGCTTGCTTGAATGCAGTGAGCCAGTTAGCATAATTTAATGCTTTCGATAGTTGTGATGAGGCGTGTGGGCTCAGCTTTTCCTGTTTTTATTTTCTTCTAATCTTGCTGGCTTTTTCTGCCACAGTTAGGTTTCCTATCCGCCTTTTATTTTATGTGTTTAGCACATATCAGGTTTTCTATGTCGAACTGCTTCGTGGGTGTTCACGTCAGTGATCAAGGACATTGACGAAACCGAAAAACGGTCATACCTTATGTGACGCAAAATATGTCTGCAGAGAACGGTTAACTGTTGTTAGACAACTATCACTTACTCTGCCATCAATCAAGAGTGTCCATATACAAGTAATCAAGAATTGGTTTACTCAATGACGCAATATAAAGCGGGGTTGTTCGCGGCTTACTCAAGACATCCTCTCAATCACCTACATACTCTACGCATTTAAAAAATGACGCTCACGTACATCACTAGATTCAAACTATCTCAGAAAGTCTCCCCCACTCCATGGTAGAGTGGTTCCGGTGAGCGAATAACGTGGGACGTCCTAAATTACAGCCTTCGAACTCGAAGGCCAACGCGCGGTTGAAGAGAATGAAAGTAAACTACGACGTTCCTCTCGTACACCGGTGAAATATCCCTACGCAGGCATGCGAATAACCGTCGTTGCAACGTCAATGCGTAGGAAAAGGGGTGGTCGTTCGAGGGCTGAAAGTAAGGTCGCCGTGATTAACCCTGGAACAAGCTCGCGAAAGAAACAGCAAAGAGAAAGGCAACCTATCAGCCAACAAAGTACGAATTGGCGAAGAGAAGCACGAGTGAGAAAACGGGAACGATCGGGCAACCCTTCAAGGGAGCCCTCCTCCCTATAACGACGCGCGCGCGCTGATTGGTCAGCGAGGGAAATGACGTCGCCCTGAAGGCTCGCGCGCGCGCGCGCGCGCCGATCATCAAGAAAAAAAGATCTTGCAATGGGGTGAAGAGCGGATCCCGGAACGGAAAGAGACAAGATTGAGGGGAAGGAGAAAAAAAATTCAGGCGGCGATGCGAGTTTCCAATATGGCGTCGGGCACACTTCCGGCCCTACGCCCACGCGCCCAGAGCGCGCGCGCGTCAGCCGAACCCGGGGGTACAAAAGGGAGCGCCGCGGGAGGCTCTGATCCCGACTCCGGAGTCAGGACCACCCAAAACTCGTGCGCGGGACGCTTTCCAAGAGAGAGCAAGGCGCGAAATCTGAGAGCAAAGCCGAGTGTGCGAACCCGATAGACAAGTCGCTCCTGGGAGCATTTTCGAGCGAATAAGCAAGCGATTAGCTATAGCAAGCGAATTAAGGAGGAGTACAAAAATCTAGGGAAGCGGCATAGAAGTTCCGAATTCGCCAAATAGTTGTTATTGCCGCTCATTGAACTAGTTCAGCCAGGCAATATAAGCGTTAGCGATTGTCCTTTCAGAGAGGCAACAGCTCTGACCGAAAGCCGGCCTCCGACTCCAGTTGTGGAAGAGTGAAAGAAAAAGAAAAGGAAGAAGTCAGGGACGAAACGACCGTCGCAGCCACTTCGCCTCGATACATCCCCCTCCTGAGTGTGCCCCTTCGTCCGCTGTTGGAGAAAGACCTGCCTAAAGAGTGAGTGCCTCTCGTGCTACGAATTTCTATTTCAGCCATATTCGAGAATTCGTCTCCCTGCCGGACTGGAAACTTCTAGTCTTCCTGCATCCTGAGCAGCGAATTCGTCACGCTTAATTTACAATGACTTTTTTTACAACCGAAACACTGCTGCTGAAATGCAGGCGCAGGTAGAGCGACGCTTCGTTGTAAGGCATACCGATCGTGATACTAATGTACCTCAGGGGCAAGTTCCGAAAAAACGAGATTTAAGAGTTATATTTTTAGAAGTTGGAATTCAATGTACTAGCAGTATATTACCATGGATACACTAACTTCCCACGTTGAATCACGGTTGACTGATGTGCTGTGGTTTACGCAGATACAGAGAACTTGCCTTTTCTTCGCGTTTTGATAAGTCAATATTGACGAATATTACGTCACACTACGTAAGTAATGACCTGATCATGATAAGCGTCGGTAAGTAAAATGTAAATTTTGCCAACTTCGGCTAGAGAAATCTGCGCACTCCCACATCCGAAGTAGGAAATACCTGTTTAAGTTGGTTTGCAGTAAACTTTCACGCGCAGGGAATACGTTAAATTTACGCGCGCAAAATAAGCTTTCGCTCTCTTCCAAGATAACGGAAATTGTTTGGTATAGCAGCATTCAAGACCTCTAAGTCTCCATGTAGGATATATTGCGGATTTTGTAAATGTCAGGAAAACCAATATTTGGAAGCTTCTTTATTAATTTTACGCCATTTGCTTTGCGCCTCTAACCACAATTTCAATCTCAAAGGCTACATTCAACAATTATTGTGCTGCTTCAGAGAACAACAAGAAATGCAACTACTTCACTATAACTGCAAATTCAACAATTTCCAATAATTTTTTCTTAGAAAACAAACATATTTAGTTATTATGTGATATGGTTACCGCAAGACCATTGAGTAGTTTTAAGTATCCACTTATGTAAGAGAAACCAGTATAAAAATGATGCCAGAACATGCTCAAAAGGCATCGTTTGTAGTAGTCATATTACCCGGAGGAATCCATGACAAATGTACCAGCATGTAAGGTTAAAGTAATTTTTGCTTTCCAAAACACTCAGACTGCTGTAAGAGTTATCGCTCAACACATACCTACAAGAACCACTGATGCGTACTTGCTTGTGCGTTTTACGTATCTGTATAAAGAACCTAAATCCAAGAAGCGCGGGAGTCTCTGAAAGGGAAATAAAACATTTAGTACGCCTTAGAGCCACGGTGTCAACGTGCACACACGGGCGCGCCGTAGATGTTCTGTGAACACTCGAGCATGCGGATGTCGTTGGCACCGAGTTCTGCTCGGTTCAGGGGCACCTAGAGCTTATTAAACATTGCGTGAAAGAAATACGACGTGAGCGCGAAGAGGCTATGTAGCCAGAATAAAAAGTAATGAGTGAGCTTAACAGGATCAGCGAAAACGAAAATGCTCGCAACTGCAACAATTCTGTTGCTGTTGCAGATTTCACAAGCATCTGCTGTTGACAACACAGTTTATTTTGAATGAATTATCTAAGAATGCAAGACTGTGCTGTTCTACATTTTCGGTCAGAAGGGAGCGAAAAGCGGATTGATTTTGCTTAACATTGCAATACTTTGCAAAAGCTCCAGAAGCATAAGTATAAGGTTTGGCTGAGGCTTGCGAAAAAATTCAGAAAAAGAAGAATTAAAAACAAAATGAGCACTATGTAGAAATTAAACGCATGAACTTTCTGGCGCGTTTTGCTTTCCAGAGTTTCTTCCATATTTCAAGAGGAAAGACACAGCGTATCAGCAGTGGCAGTTAACAACGTGGTGAAGCCGAAAATAGTGTATACTGTCACGGTGCAGCTCCCATGCGAATCGCGAGGTCCTGCTATGCTCAAGATCACGAAACAAGAAAAGCGTAAAAATGCTTTATTTAAAACACCCTTCGCCACCTGCCACACCAACCTCTATTTTTTTTCCCATCGTTGAATTCAGAATTCCTACTTCAATTCGCACGCAAGAACGTATTTCACTTGAGGTCAGAAACTTTTTCACCACTGTTCTTGTCACGAGAACGTTCGCCAGTATGTGAAGAAACAGAGACAATAAAAAGTCGGGAGCATAACCAAGAAAAAGATTTACAGCTCAGTACACAGCATTGAGGTGGGTGGAGAGATGAAAAGAGACGAAACAAAGAGCGAAGGAAAGTACAGATAATGAAGACGCGGTCAGCCTTTGTAGAGGTGATTGGCAAATTTGAAAAACTTGGTACGGTTAAAACCCCGAATGATTGCGTTTTCTTTACTAACATACACCATTGTGTTGCTTCTTCAAGGGGGCAGACCACACACGGCAAAATCATTGACACCCGAAACATAAAAAAAGGCGGAAAATGTTTAACCTAAGCTTCAAATGTTCTAAGCTTAAAATGCCACTACTTGAAAACTCGAGGTGCGTCATTTGCACCATAGCCGTACTATATAAATAAACCACAAAGTTTTATATAGCGACGAGATTTCTGGGTCATCGTTCATTTTTCTGCGGAACCATGCCTAACTATGTGTCGATCTAGATAGATTGCTCCATATTTGCTTCAATTTAGCAACTCTCATTTCATCCCTCCTACAAACTCGCGCTCATTCACAAGCACAAGGGGAAGCACTTCTCCATCTCAACCGGAGCGCTCAAAAGGCGAAGAACCATTGGCGCCTTCACTGATTGCCCTTTCAATTTGCAAAGAGCGATAGCCTGTTTCTCTTCTTAAGGATATTCTATAACAGACCAGGGGCACTTTCAAAATTAAGTTTCCTCAACGCACTGACAAGGTTTTCGGCGTTTTTTTTTTTCACTGTTTCTTTTTTCTAGAGGGATATCTTCAGCTACTCGAAAAAAGAAGCTACGGTCGCTTCCAAGAAGTCCTTACAGGAAAAGTAATGCACAGAAATTTTCTGAAGCAAGGTGCCTTGAACGCTTTGTAGAAGCTACGGGTTTATACTCGCAATTTTCATGCTTTAGTGACTTCCAGGTATCAAGCTTCTTCCTGAATCAATGGGCTTAAGTTATTTGGAGCTCGTGCATAGACAACGCATTCAGAAGTAGTCAGACAGGCGGATAAACCAACGGGTGGATAAATACCAGTTTCCTCATGCTTGCTCTTCCTTCGCCGATTTCCTTGCTACAAAAGCATAATGTTTTCAGCAGTTTCAGTTTTCACGTAACCAGAACTTGCCATCTCGGCATAACTTGCCGGAACGACTATTTCTCAGACAAACATTTCTCATAAAAAGTGACGAGTTTAGTCGGTGCTTAGTTTACAAGAAGTAAAGAAGTGGAAATATCAGGGCTCTTATTCTTTGTTCTAGATCATACTTGAAGGTATAGAGTCTTCAGATTCAACAGCCCTATAGCTCTCTGATTTAACTTCCTGGTGATGCGTTAACTTACTACATCTGATGAGATCAGCAAGTACACTACCATCGTTTGCAAACCCTATACCTTTTCATTACCATCATTCTTCACCAGCACTCTTAAGGCCTATTAGAAGGGATTACACAATAGGGGGGGGTAAGTAATGAAGTAAAGGGCTATTCACCCCGTAAATTCAACATTTAGAGGAAACAAAAAAGGCGGAAGGCAGGAAGAGTAACCAGAAAGGCGTCCAGTGCGTTATCTTACACAGGTAAATTGGGATATAGAACTATAAAGATGACAGAGACAGGTCGGAAGAAAAAAACTGGCAGCATATCCACGGAGTGAATGATGTAGAGTGGTGTGAAGCATTCGTCCGTTCATTCGTTCTTGCTTCCGTCCGTCCATGCGTACGTCTGTGTGACCGTCCATGCGTCCATCCGCCCGTCCCTGCGTGCGTCTGTTCGTGCGTCCGTCCCTGCGTTCATCTATGCGTCCGCCCTTGCGTCTGTTCATGCGTCCATCCGTGCATCTGTGTGTGTGTCCGTTCGTCCATCTATTCAACACTCCAAGTACCACCATCTCGCATCTTTTCATCGTATATTCCCCATATATAAGCACCGCCATCCAGCGGACATTCCAAGGACTAAACGAGAGGTAGCACACGCACTCTTTCTTACGGCTTGCGCTTTGGGTCTACTTCCACCTTCAGTAGTAGTAGTAGTAGTAGTACAAAACTTTATTATATACATAATCCAGACAGGCTTGAACTCCAGTGCCCCAAAAAATATACGGGGTGGAGAGCGAACTCTGTCCGGCAGGGTGGTGCCCCTATTCCAGGGCCCCACTGGCGCGAGCCATCCGTTCAGCTCTTTGGATCAGCCGTAGCTGATCCACTAGGGCTGGGCTAGACAGCAGCGCCTCCCATTCCTCCCAAGTGCCAGTGGTGTCGCGCTCTTCGTCGTGCTCTGCAAACTCCCACGTGATGTGAAAGAGTGTTGGGGTGGCTGCACACCACGGGCACATATCTCTGTACGCCGTGGGGTAGATCAGGTGAAGAGTGTGCAGATTTATGTAAGTGTTAGTCTGTATTTTTCTTAGCACTGTTGCCTCCGCAGCGCTGAGCTTGCTGTGAGGACGTGGATACAGCTGCCTATTTTCTCTGTAGTACTTTAAAATTGTTACGAAGCAAGGGTCTAGGGGTGTAGGGTCATTTTATTTAATAAAAAAAAATTGGCAGCATATCCACGGAGTGAATGATGGAGAGTGGGGCGAAGCATTCGACCGTCCATTCGTTCTTGCTTCCGTCCGTCCATGCGTTCGTCTGTGTGACCGTCCATGCGTCCGTCCGGCCGACCGTGCGTGCATCTGTTCGTGCGTCCCTCCCTGCGTTCGTCTATGCATCCGCCCCTGCGTCCGTTCATGCGTCCATCCATGCATCTGTCTGTGTGTCCATTCGTCCATCTTTTCAACATTCCAAGTACCACCATCCCGCATATTTTCATCATATATTCCTCATATAGAAGCACCGCCATTCAGCGGACATTCCAAGGACTAAACGAGAGGTGGCACACGCACACTTTCTTACGGCTTGAGCTTC